ATCTCTCTTTTTAATTTTCATCAAAACTCTGGCTGCAGCATTTTGGATCAGCTGAAGGCCTTTTAACTACAGTTTGTGGACTTCCTGAGAGTAAAGAATTACAATAGTCCAGCCTTGAAGTAACAAATGCATGGATTAGTTTCTCAGCATCACCCCTGGACAGGATATTTCTAATTTTTGCAATATTCTGCAGATGAAAGAAGGAAATTCTAGAAACCTCTTTGATATGGGATTTAAATGACAGGTCCTGATCAAAAATAATACCAAGATTTTTTACTTTAATATCTAAAATCAATTTAATTCCATCCAAATGAAGTGACTGACTAATCTGCTCCAAAGACTATAACTTCTGCTTTGTCTGCATTCAGGAGCAGAAAGTTAAGAGTCATCCAGGTTTTTATGTCTTGAAGACATGCCTGTAATCTATGTAATGGGTTAGCTTAATCTGGATTCATAGACATATATAGCTGTGTATCATCAGCATAACAGTGGAAATTAATCCCATGCTGTCTAATGACTCTACCGACTAAGATCATATATATAGTAAAGAGAATTGGTCCTAGCACTGATCCCTGTGGTACTCCACAGGTAACCTTATCTTATATTAAATGTTCTTACCGGCTTTCATGTGTTTGTGTCAGAGTCAGAAAGCCGTGTCTTTAACAGTCAGAGGTTTTTGTACGATGGCTCCATCAGTTTGTATCACTGTGGTACACGTTTGGTGGAGGAACCACACTGAATGTTAACTGTAAGTACAACTAATTAACTAAAAGAAATGTTCTCTGTAATTTATTTTTTTATTTATTATTTTTATTCTGACAGGAAATTAATTCTTTTTGGATTTAGTTACTTTAAAAAATAAATGGATAAGTTTGTCAATAGTGAAAATAAGCTGCTATTTTGTCATTTTTTTTTTCTTTGATATGGAAACGATTTAATCATTTTAAACTAATGAATGTCTTATTAAAATGATTTTATTTACTTTTGTTAGCGCAGGATGTATGTAAACTTGTAATATCAGTTTTAGCATGTGCATACTCTTGGGCTCAGTTATATTTTCTCTGATCTGCTGATGAAGGGTTTTTGAAGTAAAAATATCTGAACTTTCCTCTTTTTTGTAAACGGAGAATTGATATTGAAAAAATAAAAGAT